CCGGCAGCGGGAAGGGTTTGCTCCTCTTCCTTTCTGCATCAGCCCTGAAGTCACAAGCGAGGGGCCAGTGTTTCTCTAAGTAGGGCAGGGTCCTTGGGGGACGCGTGAGGAGACGGTGTACATTGGGGGCCTCTAGAGGCTTGGGTCATTGCTGGGGAGTGACAGGTTGTTGCTAGAGGCTTGGGCCTCAGAGAAACCCCTGGCTCTGCCCACCTTCCAGAGTTTCGACAGAGCCTGGAATCACTCTAGGGGCAAGGGCCGTGCATCTGCCAACATCCGTCCAGCTCTCCTCAGCCACAGGAGCCCAGGACCAGCAGCAAGGAGGTGGGAGCCAGGGGTGCAGTGGGAAATGGGGCTGTGGCCAGTGGAAGCCTTGGGACGTGCATGGGGCAGGAGAGGGCCTTGAAGACCTGGGGACAGGCTCCTCAAAAGCAAAACCACTTGAAACACCCCAGCTGGGACAGCTGAGGCCCCTGTGGCCAGCCCCCGACAGCCCCGGAGGCTTCTGCTGTAGAAAGCCGTGGCCAGCGAGGGCAGCTGCCCACCCCTGCACAGGGCCCAGGATGGCTGAGGGCTTAGGGGTCTAGGGACAAGGGGGTGACTCGAGAGACAGCCACTCCAAGGCCTCCCCTGAGCTCTGGGACCAGCCCCGAGCTCAGGCCTCCCCATCTGGGCTCTGTTTCCCTCTTCTGTTCGCGGCTCTGACTGTTCCCCCCCACCCCCCCCGGGTGAAGGGAGGCTGGGAGGCTCGCCTGCCCTGAGTCGCGGCCAAGCTGTAGAAGGCAGGGCCTTGGCAAGCACACAGTGTCGCCGCTCTGGGAGCAGCGGGGCTAATTATACTCAGCTGGCGGCAGTGGCTTGGAGATGGCTGGGAGTTTCCCAGCTCGCTGGCTCGCCTGGCCTCCTGTGTGGTAAACACTGCAGGGAGGTGTGGGGACAGAGGGCGGGGAGGTGCGGGCAGGAGCCCGAGCCAGGCCTTGAAGGGGGGCCAGGTGGGGCAGCCCGACCAGTCGCTGACTCCAGCTAGGAATCTCACTTAGAATCCGTGGCCGTGGGGCAGGTCCAGCCCTCTCCGGGGTCCCAGGCGCAGGGTCCTCCTGCGGGGTGGGGGGCCCTAGATCCAGCCGGCTGGCATATGGTGGAGCACGATAGGATGGAATGCTTGGGGAAGGCCCAGAGAAGGGGCCTGATGGAGAATGTACTGTCCGCCTTTCCTCTTCCTGCCAATCTTGGGGACTTTCCTGGGGTCAGGGCTGCTGTGTACAGCCGTGCAGGTGCGGACTGATCCAGCCCGTGCTGGCTGTGACCATCCGGACAATGGGTCACCTTTATCCGAAGCCCACAAGGGCCCTATGCAGGCCGGTACCTGGTGCCCACAGGCCAGGGTCAGAGGGGGGTTGAGCATCAGAGAGGAGCCCTGGGCACTGGGGCAGCTGCTGGCCTGGGAGCCCTTCCCCTGAGGCTAGGGTGACACTTTCAGGACTGCACATCTGGCCTGGCGATCAGCGCCTCAGGCTCCAGGGGTGAGCTCTCAGCCCAGGAGGTGAGTGGCAGGCTGGCAGAGTAGTCTGAGGGTCCTGGCTGAGGAAGCCCAGACCCCTCGCCTATTCCCCAGGCTGTTTGCTTCCACGTCCTCCCCTGCCTGGGTACGAGCCTCTGCCACTGTGGCAGGTCACATCCAAACCAATCATATTTCATCCCGAGTGGCTTGAGTCACACAGAATTGGAATGAGGGGTGAGCCTGTGAAAGTGAGATTCAGAAGTCAGTGTGGTACCTGCATTTGACCTGAAAAATGTAGACCATGAGGCTAAATTACCTGTCAACTGAGTCCACTGGGGCAGGACCAATGATTTTATGTCACACCTCTCCTTACACAATTCACAAGCATGTTTAGATTCACAAACACTAATCTCGAAGCCCTATTCACTCAGTCAGTAAACATTTAGTGAACACGTCCTGGGTCTCACTCACCATCATGTCTGAAGACTCAGTAGGGAAGCAAATACGCCCTGTGCTCACTCACATTCTAGACAAATCAGAAAACCAAGAAAGCAAGCAGAATAACTGCAGATGGCAATAAGCATCACGGAGGAAATAGGCAAAGTTGAGAGCAGTGGGCCGACTGAGCTGGCCTTGCTTCACCTCTGAAATGAAATAATAGAAAACCCACCCAAATCCTGTCAGAGGAAAAACAAGCCTTGAACCACCTCCAGACCACAAGCCCAATTAAGAACCCCCTTCCCTGCACACCTACTCCCAGCTGCGGCTGCTTCCAGAGGTGAGGCCTGCAGGGCTGGCGGGAGGCCCTGGGCGTGAGGGACAGGAGGGACGTGCCACCTCGCCACAGGAAGGGGACATCAGTGCTCCGTCAGGGTAGCACGAGGATTCATAGAAAAGGTGAGGGAGGGCTTCCCTGGTGGCGCAGTGGTTGAGAGTCCTCCTGCTAATGCAGGGGACACGGGTTCGAGCCCTGGTCTGGGAAGATCCCACATGCCGCGGAGCAACTGGACCCGTGAGCCACAACTACTGAGCCTGCGCGTCTGGAGCCTGTGCTCCGCGCAACAAGAGAGGCCGCGACAGTGAGAGGCCTGCACACCGCGATGAAGAGTGGCCCCCGCTCGCCACAACTAGAGAAAGCCCTCGTGCAGAAATGAAGACCCAACACAGACAAAAATAAATTAATTAATTAAAAAAAAATTTTTTTTAAAGCTAAAAAAAGAAAAGGTGAGGGAGCTAAGGCCAGTTTTGAAAGATGGATCCAAATTTTGCGGCCTGGCCAGAGGGAGAGGCCTCCTGGCTCGAAGTGTAGGAGGAGGTGGGTGCAATGGGGTGGGGCGCAGCAGAAGGGCACCGCCGGGGGAGGCGGGGAACGCGTGCCCAGCCCTCTGCGGCTCTCACGGGGCTTTCCCATGCCGTCAACCTGGCCAGAGGCCCACGGGGCAGGGTCCAGGCAGGGCTATGAGCGTGGAAGTCTCTGGAGAGGGGCCCCTGCGAGGACAGGCTGCTTCTCAGGCCTGGCCACTCGTTCCTCTGAGGAGAGCTCCAGGAGAAATGCTGCTTTTCCTGAATATCTGGTCGTGAACACAGACATCCAGGGGCGGGGAGCTGCTGGGGAAGAGGAAATGGACTCTCCGTACGGAGCCGCCCCCAGTCTGGCTCGGCCTGAGCACACAAGGAAATGGTTCCTAAATTGAGGGACAAGAGTCAGTCATCTGGGGCAGAGGGGCCTGTTAGCCACACTCCCTGTCCTTCTTCGTCTCCTAGAACATCTAGGGCTGGAACCAGGATCGTGTGATTTTAACAAGCACCCAGGCGATTCTGCTGCAGGCAGCGGTGGGTCCAGAGCCCTGGAAGCTGGGCCTACATGGCATGGCAGCCAGGAGGAGGCTGGGATCCGGTGGCTTGCTGTGGGTCTGGCAGCTCCTGAGAGCGCAGGACTTTTCCTTTGATCCATATCAGTTCCACACCCCACTCTGCCACCAGGTCTCAGAAGGGGCTCATCTTCTCCCTGGGATCCTCACCAGCTCCATCTGTGCTCCAACAGACAAACAAAGGCTAAGCTAGTCTCGAGAGCCCCCCTCCCCCATACTCTCAGTAATGTTTTATTTCCACCAGGAAAAAAGCCCAAACAAAGCACACATGAGGATTTGTGGTTCCTTCCGGTCTGAGAAGCCAAGGCTGAAATGCATTTTGCCTACACGTAAGTCCTGGGCCTCTCGGCGCTCACAGCTGATGGAGATGTTGTCAGGACAAAGCTGAACATTCCAGAAGAAAGGCTTGAAACCACCAGGCAACAGGGAGGGCGCACAGCTGCTGAGAACCTTTATCCGAAGCTTAACGCCTCTGCCCACCCCCATATTAGGCCACAGAGACGGCAGGCAGGGGTGAGCAGCAAAGGTGGTGAGAAAAGTCGGAAGAGGATGGAGCGGTCCCAAGGGGGACCTCGGGAAGGTCAAGGATGTTGCCTTCAACCAGCCACCCTCTCCAGGGTCAGAGGTGCACAGCTCTTGTCTGGGGGCAGATGCGCCTCCTTTCACAAGCTTTCAGGCCTCAATTACGATTCATCCCCTCCTGTGGTCTGTCTCCTAGGTCGTGACCTGAAGCCCACTGGGGTGCAGTGTCCCTTCTGTGGGGCTGCCCCAAGGCCCTCACTGAGGGGCTGGGCAGACGAGGCCTGTGTTAGGACTTGCCAAACTGCACCAGTATCTCAGCATCCTTTGTGGGAGACAGAGATTTTGCCCTGATAATTCCCTCCCCTTTCCAGCCCTAGTCCTAGCCCTGGCCTGTAGCCTTCCGTCCCCTAAGAGCTGCTGTGGGGAGAGAGGAGGGACCGCACTTCTGAAGGGAGACAGGCCTACGTGCTCAGTCCCAGAGCCCTAAATCCTTCCCTGCTCTCTGGCTGGTGAGAGCCACATAATGGGCCACATGAACAAATGCAGCTGGATAATACCACCCAAAATGAGGCCAGTTCTCCCTTGCACTCACAAGGCAAAGTTACTTCGGCTTGCCTTCTTATTAGGCCTTATACCTCATTTGGTCTGTGTCCTAATTTGGAGGCTTAATGTGAAAACAGGACAGCTTCACCTGCTCTATTATTCTTTTTTATTCTTTTTTTTAATGTTTTTGGCCACGACGTGCGGCTTGTGGCATCTTAGTTCTCCGACAAGGGATCGAACCCAGGGCTTCGGCAGTGAGAGCCCTGAGTCTTAACCACTGGACCCCACGGCTCTACTATTCTTATCCAGTCAGTCCCAGGCCAATCCAGAAAGCTGAGCTTTCAAATACCTGTGGTTTCTAGGGGCCTCAAGGGAGTCTCTGGGCTCCCATTTATAGGTGCAAAGATGTTATGGGACTTGGAGTTCGGAGCTGAGAGAGAATGTGGAGGTACCGGCTTTCACAAGGTGAGGGCTGTGTATTCTGGTTGACAGCAGCCCCGTAAATGGGAAAGACCCCACGGCCATTGAATTCCAAACACACCTGGCTTTGAATCACCACCTACCACTTGTGTGACTTCGGTAGTCCCTCTGAGCCTCCATTCCTCTCCCGGACAATCATGGCCCCATCATGGAGGCAGCGGCTGCAAGACAAGAGGAGAGCCGGGACGGGTCACATTCTCCTCAGCCCCTCAGCCCCAGGACCCTGCGTGATGGTGAGGAGAGGGGTGGGAAGAGCTGAGAGGTTTTTGTCGTCACTGCATTCTGCCTCGGACACTTCACGCTGCCCTACCCCACCCCATTCTCCTCTGGAGGTGGCAGCCCTCACCCCGGCCTCCTGCCCTATGCCACTGGGGGTGCAGGGCATCAGGCCGCTGTGACCGCGGGACGTAGGTCAGGGCCCAGCTCCCAGACGCTGTACAGACAGGATCAGCTGCCCTCCTCTGTCCCCGCATTCATCACTCCCCAGGACTGTGGGCCTTGGAGGTGTTTGTCCCTGTGTCCTCCCTTTCTGCTCCAGACAGGACAAGGAGTTTGAATTAGATAAACAGAGATAAACAAATGCTAAACACAAACACAAACTTTATCCAAACCATTTTTATATATTAAACAGAAAAAAAAAAAAGGGCCTGGGAGTGTCTGAGGGTCTTGTGTGGCCTTTCTCTGGGTTGAACTTGGTTCCCTTAGACAACGTGCCAAGGCTTTGTCTGGCCCCGAGGCCCTGCTGCGGCTGCGGCCTGTTGTTGTCAGCTGGAGAGGGGGCACCGAGGGGTGCTGTTCCTTCCTCCCCGGGTCTCTGGGAGACAGAGACCGCTGTGCTCAGCGGGCAGCCACAGGAGCACATTTGCATTATTTTGTGACAACAAGCAAATTTCCTGGAGGGGGTTTTTGGAAGAGCTGGGAGCCGCCCAGAGGGAAAGCTGAAGGAAACAGGAGAGCAGGAGGCCAGGAGGAAACAGGCCTGGGCAGAGGCAGAATCTGAGGCTGCAGGCAGCCGGGGAAAACAAGGCCTTGGCCTGAGGTTGGGCTGAGGGGTATCTGGGGCCCTGACTCCCTCCTCTGTCCTTTCGAGCTGCAGAGGGGAAGCCCGGCCTGAGCACGTCCAGGCAGGGGTGCTACTGCCCGCGCTGACCTGCAGGAAAGCTTGCCCAGCCCAGCAAGCTTGTCGGTGGCAGGATAATGATCTGAGGAGGAGCCAGGCAGGCTGCAGAGTCAGATGGAAAATTCCCACAGCGCTCCTGCACCTGAGCTGCACCCGGGGGAGAGGCACCAGGCACCAGCTCCATGCAGGCCCTGACTGCGTGACGGTTGGCAGGGCAGACGCTGGGGGCAGCGGCAGCTGACCAACTTCAGGGGAGGGGGGTGGAGACTCGGTCTCTGACCTTTCTCTTTATTCTTGCACCTTGGGAACTGGCCTGACTCTGGGCTTGGTTGGTGTGCTTATTGGGTAGGGATGGGGAGACCATCAGGAAACGAAAGAAGACAGACCTGCTTTCTGCATATAAAGGAGGTCCCACAACCCTCCAAAATCGGCTGAGAGTCGGAGAAAATGGGCCGCGTTTGTTTAAACAAATCAAGCAGCATTCCACAAGCGTATCCAGATTTTAAACTTAAGTCCCTATTAAAGCTCAGGTGCAGACACTCTCCGGTTGGATTGATACTGATGACTATAAGCCTTTGCTGGGCCCGGGGCCTCGAGGAAGAATGTCCGTGGGCACCTGCTGTGTGCTGGCGCCTTCACATAGAGCCTCTTGTTCAGTCCTTGCTGGGAAGAGCCCCGCCAGCAGGACATACTTGATGTGGTACGAAGCCAGACTGGAAGGCTCCTAACCAGTGTTCTCCCCCAGCTTCTCCCAGAAAGCCAGGCTAGAGCAGGCTGTTTCGAGGCCCTGGAGATGCAGGTGTTTCCCACTAAGTCTCCAGAGCTGGCGCCTCACATTCCCTGTGTCCCAGGAAGATGAGAAGGACCCAGGTGGCAGGAAGGGTGTCCTCTGGACACGTGGCTGGGAGCCCAGCAGCCTGGGTGCCAGGTCCAGGAAGGCCTCCCCATCCCTGGGTGACCCAGTCAGAGGGAGGAAGGAAGGAAGCCATACAAGATAGGATTTCCCCACCCCAGGCCTGCAGTCTTCCTGGCTCCAACCTCCTGATAGGCAAGCTGGTTTGTTAGTTGACCTGTGTAGTTTTCCACAGGTGACAAAAGCCACTGGCAAGTTGCAAAATTCTCCGGCACAGGTGGGCTTCAAGAGGCCACAGTTTTCCAACAAGGATATAAAGAGAAGGTGGAAGAGCTCTGGACGTTCTGTCAGAGCGACTTTCTTCAGGGTCCCCGACTGGGCCCAGAGCTACAGAGAGGAACTGGGCAGCGCAGGTTTCCATCTCTCCACCCCTTTCTGCTGCCCCAGGGCTCCTCCACGTCTGCCCCTCCCTCCCAGCTAGCCCTGACTCACGCTCCCTGGGCGCGGCACCTGCCGTCTGGCTCCCCTCCACTGACCCCGCCCTGGTCCCCAGGACACCCCGGCTGAAGATCCTGGCGGAGGGCACGCTCGGGGGCAGGCCAGGGGCCTCACAGCTCCGTGCTGCAGGGGTGGGAGCAGGGTGGTGCAGCCCAGCTGAACCAGAGCACTAGGGCTCTTGAGGTCTCTGCAGGCCCCAGGAGGAGAGGGGAGTGGGAACCCACCCAAGTCCAGGTTCCCCTCAGAGCTCCAGGAGGCGGTTTTGGTTCATGGCAGGGTCAGAAGCAGCTTGCTGTCCGATGCCATCTTCTCCAGCAAGAGAAGGCTTGAGGCAGGGCAGCCCTTGTCCTGAAGGCCAGGGACCCCCATGAGGAAAGTTCGCAGCCTGTGTGCGTTCGTCTTGGGCAAATAAGCAGCGGAGGGCCCAGGAAGGAACCTCTTCACCCGGAAAGAAGCAGGAATTTGGCTCACAGGCTGAACCGCAAATTCGGTTTTGCAGGTTACCCAAGGCCACACCTGCTCAGCTCTGGCTGAGGAGGGAGGGTTTTTTTACCTGGCTTCTGCCTTGCTGACCCCATTACTTGGGTGAAAATGTTCTCAGGAAGTCATATTTTGGAAGGTCAGTGTGCTTTCAAAACTTGGAAGCATTTAAGAGCCATTCTGAAAGAGCTCACCAGTTCCTGCTGAGAGACAGTAATACTGTTCTTTTCTGCACTTTAAATGTTTTATGTCATTTAATTCTCATTGCATTTCTTTGAGATGGATCCTATGATTATATCATTTTACAGAAGAGAAAACTGAGACTGTAAAGTACTCAGCTGTGGATTGAGAATTGAGAGAGGCTCTTTGCTGAAGAGTTGAAGTCCCTGGCACTTGAATCAGGGATGGAAGCCTGGGGATGCAGGTGGCCCTTTCCCCACCTCTCTAGTCAAATGTCTCTGTCACCTGGGTCTCCTTGAGGCCCAGTTTGAAATGGAGCAAATGCAGAGTTGGGACTCTGGTGCTGGTGTGCAGCCTTTGGGAGCTGTTGGCCGTGACCTTTTCAGCAGGAATCTCCCCACTTCTGGTTTTGCTGTGTTGTCCAGTGTCCAAGTGCCTGGACAGAGGTTCATGTGACTATTTCTCTCTCTCGCTGGAAAGCCCCTCCCTCCAAGGCCATCAGCCCCGCCCCCTCCCCCCTACTTTGTGTCTTGGGACTGGGGTTTTTCAGAAATGTGAAATTAGCAGTGAGCACCTGGAGCCCTTCTTGCTTTAAAAGAAGCTGCATTATACCCTGTTTTACAGTGACATTTTGTTTTTTAAGAACACGGAGAAGAAAAGAAAAGAAAAGAAGAAACCAGAAAGGAATCTCCACGTAGTTTGTGGAAGGAAAGGAGCATACTACGTATATTATAATTTGGAGCTGTTAGAGGCATCCTCTCACTAGCCCTGGGCAGGTGGCTGCCAGTCCCGGGGGGTGCCCCTAACAGAGCTTGTCTGGAAGGAGGCCTGGAGGCTGTTTTTGCACAAGAGGACTTCATGCCCAATCTGCTTCTGTGAAGGGGCAAACCCTCACCCTGCTGGATGCAGACAGGATGCAAAGCTGCCACAAATCTCTCTCAGCTCACTTGGAGGAGATACTCTGCAAGAGATGCGAAGGCCAAAATTCTTAGTCCCCGGAGAGACTTAGCCCGTGTTTCCTTGTTCATCACTGTGTCCCCAGGCCCCAAGGCAGGGTCTGACTTGTAGGTGGCCCCAAATTTTTGCTGATCAGTCAGAGCTAAGAGGACTTTCCCTACATTGACAGGAGATGGTTCAATCACATGGCCCTTGCACAACAGCACTCCTCCCTGAGTCCTTCTTGAAGCACATTTTCTCAGGTGGCTGCTGGACACAGAGGCGCAGAGAAGCTGATGGCCTCCTCCAGGTCACCCTGCAACAGTGAGTCTCTACAGCCATTCTATCAGGATCAATGAGCTACTTTTTTGGAGTGGGGTGATTTTGTCTAATGTTGTGTTCATTCAAAACTTAGAGCTTGGGCTTCCCTGGTGGTGCAGTGGTTGGGAATCCGCCTGTCAATGCAGGGGACACGGGTTCGTGCCCTGGTCCGGGAAGATCCCACATGCCGCGGAGCAACTAAGCCCGAGCGCCACAACTACTGAGCCTGCTCTCTAGAGCCCGCAAGCCACAACTACTGAAGCCCGCGCACCTAGATCCTGTGCTCCGCAACAAGAGAAGCCACCGCAATGAGAAGCCCGTGCACCACAACGAAGAGTAGCCCCTGCTCACTGCAACTAAAGCCAACACGCAGCAACGAAGACCCAACACAGCCAAAAATTAATTAATTAATTAGTTGTTTTATTTTTTTTAAAAAGAGCTTGACCCGTATCACTTAAGAAACACCAGGATGGGCTTCCCTGGTGGCGCACTGGTTGAGAGTCCACCTGCCGATGCAGGGGACACGGGATCGTGCCCCGGTCCGGGAGGATCCCACGTGCCGCGGAGCGGCTAGGCTCGTGAGCTGTGGCCGCTGGGCCAGCGCATCCGGAGCCTGTGCTCCGCGACGGGATAGGCCACGGCGGTGAGAGGCCCGCGTACCGCAAAAAAACAAACAAAAAAAGAAACACCAGCATGGCCATCTTCACAGAATTTTTTTCCCTTTGGTCTTAGTGGGAACTTATGTAAGCTCCCAGAAACAAGTGTCCACCAGGCCCTTGGAGGCTGCCTAAGGATTATGGCCCCAGTTGTATGACCTAGGCAAACCCGGCTCTGATGGGAGTTGTCAACTAACCAGCTAGATCCAGTTGATAACCGAGGTGCTGCTCTCAGCCTTATCCCTGGAAAACCCCAGCTTGGGCGGGCACTCTGAGGCTGTTAGCTGGGGCTCCCCCCAGTTCATCCCTACTCTGCCCAGGGAAACCAGATCTTTCCTGTTCTTCTTCTGCTTCTCCTTTTCACCCTCATTCCAGTGGCCAGTGGAGGTTTAATCACTACAATTCTCGGCAATTCTTGTGATAGATCAAGGCAGGGGGCCAGGACTCTACACTTGGGAAAAGTTCCCCTGGTGGTTCTGATGTGAATCCCTGGCTAAGAACTGCCAATCTAGCACATTTCAGTTTAAAATGCTTCACTGCTTACGCTCATGGGATGTGGGCATAGGAAAGAGGTGTTACAGAGATTTCAAACCACACCGATCTCGGTGATTTCCTTCTTGCGTAGAGGGGTCATGGGGCAAATCATGCTTATTGTTCCCCAGGAGGCTCTTTTTGAGTCAGAAGCAAACACCAACACCTGATGGTGTGCTTTCATTTAAGGCCAAGGGAGGCCGTTTCCTAGGGCTAGAGGGGGGGCCGCTAAAATCTGAGGTCAGTCAGATGGATAACAGGTGAGTAGGGTGAGATTGTGCAGCCAGGGAACTTTGGAGGCAGCTTTCCCCCTGTGGAGGCACCCTCGCTGCGGGTAGTGCCCACGGCTCTGCCCCGGTAAATGGGAATGCACTTCACGCATGCGCAGAGTTTTGGCCACCTGGGTTAGCGCTTCTCTGTGGTCTGGAACTGAGGAAAGCGAGGGTCACGCGTAGGTTTTGCGCAAGGAGGCTTAGGAGGCTTGACCAGCACGTGAGCAAGGCTCCTCACCAGGTAATGCTGGGATGTGCAAACACTTCAAAAATGGGTAAGAATACCCGTACCTTCACTGTTGGTATTTTATTGGGAAAATTTGGCCCTGTTTCTCTTAAAAGGACTAAAAACTTTAATCAGGTTTAAAAAAAAATTCGTGCTTTTCAGTATAGTTTTTTAGAATTCAGGGCTTAATTTTTGCCTGATTCTATGATTAATAACTGATCTATTGAAAAACATTTTGAAAATACATTTAAAAATAAGAAATGAGAAATTATTCATAATCAGTATGAACATTTTGCATTTAAAAAATTAATAGGCATTTTTTTTAGAATAGTTTTAGATTTACAAAAAAATCTAGCAGTAATTGTACTGAGTTCCCATTAACACCCACCTCCCCCCACACACGTTTTCCCTATTATCAGTATCTTGCATTAGTGTGGTACATTTGTTACAATTAATGAACTAAGATTAATACATTATTATGAACTAAAGTCCATAGTTTATTCTAGGGTTCACCATTTGTGTTGTACCTTTCTTTCCTTTTTTTTTTTTTTGGTCAGGCCACGCAGGTTTTGACAAATGCATAATGCCCTGTATCTACCGTTACAGTATCAAATAGTAGTTTCACTGCCCTAAACCTGTGCTCCACCGGTCATCGCTCCCCACTCTCCCTCAGTCCCCTTCCAAACTCCTGCCAACCACTGGTCTTTTTACTGTCTCTATAGTTTTGCCTTTTTCAGAATGTCTTATAGTTGGAATCATACAGTGTGTAGCCTTTCCAGACTGGCTTCTTTCACTTACAAGATGCATTTAAGTTTCCTCCATGTCTTCTGTGGCTTGATAGCTCATTTCTTTTTAGCACTGAATAATATTCCATTGCCTGGGTGTACCACAGTTTGTTTTCCATTCACTTATTGAAGAATATCTTGGTTGCTTCCAGTTTGGGGCATTTATGGATACAGTTGCTATAAACATGTGTGTGCAAGTTTTTGTGTGGGCATAGCTGGATCTTACAGTAAGAGTGTGTTTACCTTGGTAAGAAACTGCCAGACTGTCTTCCAAAGTTGTTGCATTTTGCATTCTCACCAGTTGCTGCTGCTCTGAAGCATTATCAACATTTGGTATTGTTGATTTCAAAAAAAAAAAAATTATCCATTCTAATAGATGTGTACTGTGGTATCTTATTGTTTTAATGTGCAATTTATGAGGACATATGATGTTGGACGTTCTTTTCATACAATTATTTGCCATCTGTATATCTTCCTTGGTGAGCTGTTACGATCTTTTGCCCATTTTTAAATTGGGTGTTTCCTTATTGTTGAATTTTGAGAATTCTTTATAACTAATATGCACACACATAAAGAATTCTTTATATATTGATATTTTGGATACCAGCCCTTGGTATCCTTTGGATACCAAACACATATGTTTGCAAATATTTCCTCCCAGTCTGTGGCTTGCCTTTTTATTCTCTTACATGTCTTCACAGCGCAGAAGTTTTCAATTTTAATAAGATCTACTTTATCAACTTTTTCTTTCATGGATTGTGCTTTTGGTGCTGTATCTAAAAGCTCATTGCCAAACCCAAGATTACCTAGATGTTCTCTTATGTTATAGTCTAGAAGTCTTATAGTTTGGTGTTCTGCATTGTCTATGATCCAATTTAAGTTACTCTTTGTGACAGGTGAAGATCTGTGTCTAGATTCATGTTTTTGCTTGTGGATATAGAGTTGTCACAGCGCCATTTGTCAAAAGACGATTCTTTCTCCAGCGAATTGCTCTTTTTCCTTTTATCAAAGATCAGTTCATTGTATGTGTGTGGGTCTACTTCTGGGATCTCTATTCTGTTTTATTAATCTATCTATTCTTTCAGCAATACCGTACTGTCTTTACTGTAGGTTTGTAGCAAGTCTTGAAGTCAGATAGTATCAGTCCTCTAAGTTTGTTCGTCTTCTTTAGTACTGTGTTGGCCATTCTGGGTCTTTTGCCTTTCCATATAAACCTTAGAATCAGCTTATCAATATCCACAAAGTAACTCGCTGCAATTTTAATTGGGATTGTGTGGAAGTTATAGATTAAGTTGGTAAGAATTATCATCTTGACAATATTGACTCTTCCTACCCATGAATATGGACTCTCTCTCCATTCATTTAGATCTTTGATTACTTTTTTAAAAATTAATTAATTAATTAATTATTGTCTGTGTTGGGTCTTTGTTTCTGCGTGAGGGCTTTCTCTAGTTGCAGCGAGCAGGGGCCACTCTTCATCGCGGTGCGCGGGCCTCTCACTGTCGCGGCCTCTCTTTTTGCGGAGCACAGGCTCCAGAGGCGCAGGCTCAGTAGTTGTGGCTCACGGGCCTAGTTGCTCCGCAGCATGTGGGATCTTCCCAGACCGGGGCTCAAACCCGTGTGCCCTGCATTGGCTGGCAGATTCTCAACCACTGTGCCACCAGGGAAGCCCCTAGATCTTTGATTTCTTACAGCAGTTTTTAGAGTTTTCCTCATTGAGATATAGTACACATTTTGTTAGATTTATATCTAAGTATTTCTTTTTTTCCTTTTTTGAGTACTAACGTTAAGTGGTATTGTTGTGTTTTATTTTCAAATTCCAATTGTTCATTGCTGGTATGTAGCAAAGCAATTGACTTGTGTATCAACTTGTATCCTGCAACCTTCCTATAAACACTTACTAGTCCAGGAGCTTTTTTCTCCACATATTGTTTACATTGTTGAGGTCATAGACTTTGTAAACAATCTTATATCCTGTTTTTTTTTCTCAATTATGTCATAAGCCTTTTCGGTGTCATTTAAAATTCTTTTAAAACTTTTTTTTAGGGAATTTCTTGGTGGTCCAGTGGTTAGGACTCTGCACTTTCAATGCCTAGGGCCTGGGTTCAATCCCTGGTCAGGGAACTAAGATCCCACAAGCCGTGCAGTGCGGCCAAAAAACATTTTTTTTTTTTTAATGGCAGCAAAACATTTTATTGAGCTCTTAGTTAACACGTTAACACATCCATCTTTACCGTCTTCATGCATATTCCTTATTGAAAATACAGAAGTGTATAAAGAAAAAAATTAAATGTGCTCAAAACTCCACCATAAATAACCAAAATAATTTCCACAAGAAATAATCACTGTTCACATTCTGTTGTTTTCCTTCTACTGCTTCCTTTCTGCCAGTGGTTCTTTATTGGGAAACAGACTTCTCTGAATATCTGATGAAAGCTACGGGTCTCTCCCAGAAAATTAAGACATGCACTAATCTTTGAAGTTTCAGAGTTTTTAGGGGCCTCTATGGCCCATCCCAGAAATGCCCCACAAAAGGCTGTGACGCTTATCCACCAGCTCTGGTTGACATTATTTACACCACACTTTCAGGTGCGTTAGGCTTGCACAGACTGAGCAGGCTTTCCTGGCTTTAGAG